AGCCCGGGTCAGCCAGAGCCACAGCTGCCATGTGGGTGGCCCGGGGACCCTGGGGAACAGGAAGCTGTGCTGCCAACTGAGAGGCCCAGGAGCTGAGGATGGGCCTGGAGGGGAGGGGTCTGGGGGCGGGAGAGGGACAGGACTGGGAAGCAGTCAGGTGGCCTCCCAGGTGCGCTGTCATGGGCTCAGGCAGCCCAGCGGCAGGTGGGCTTTTCCTCAGCTCTGTGCAGCTGCCCAGGGCTGGGGCGGAGGCCGTGGGGGGGTTGAGGGAAGGCAGGAGGGCCGAGGGGTGCAAGGGAAGGGTGGGTGCGCTGCGGGGCAGGAGGGAAGTGAGGCCCCGGGCATGAGGGACAGGGGCAGCCATGGTGGGAAGCGCAGTCTCCCGGAGTGGTTGGGGTCGGGGCACTGGAGGAGGCAGGGGCGGGGAGCGGCAGGCAGGAGGCAGTGGTCAGCAGTGGGAGGTGGAAGTTCCAGCAGAGGTGTGGCAGGGAGAGTTTGGTCCTAACCAGATCTTGGGAGGACCATCCAGTGAAGGGTGGAGGCTGTGACCTTCAAAAGAAGAGGTCAGAGGACTGAGGGCAGGGCAGGGAGGGTGGTCTGCATGGCACTGGACCCAGAGTCACAGCGGGAGTGACGGGATGTCAGGAGCCAGGTCATCCAGTACCTAGTGCAGTGGTGCTGTGGAGTGTGACGGGCTGTGGGCTGAGGTCCTGGACACAGGGGCATCACGAACACACAGGGCCCAGTGGAGTGGGACACACAGTGGGCACATGGTGAGGAGAGCTCAGTGACCTTTCTTGGTGTTGAGTAACCACAACATGGTTACCAGGGTCTGATCACAGCACTTCACATCAGGAACGTGCCAGACATCGGTGGTCCACGTGCCCCTTGTTCTAGGAGGTTCTATGGACCCTGTATGTTGCCCTTTTCCTGCTGGATCCCACCCCCTCACCTTTGTCCCTGCATTGGTGAGCGGCCCAGCCAGGCCTGCAGAGAGCAGCAAAGGGGGACAGCTTAACAGACAGGGCTCAGGCCCAGCCCTGGAAGAGAGTGGGCAAGGAGAGAAGGCCTGGCCCCTCCCAGGGTCAAGGGGGCCCCTGAGAGCCGGCTGTGATGTCCAGCTCTTCCCCAGCCCCTCGTGCCTGTACCAGCTGTGGGAACGGGGTGAGCTGGGGCCAACACCCCTGGTGCCGAGGGCCCCCATGGCAGCCCCAGCATCTCAGGGTTGAGGCCTCATGCTCCGCGCTCAGAGCTGCTGGGGGTGGGGCTGTGAGGGGCACAGGATCCTCTACTCAAGTTCCAGTCTAGGGTGGGCATCAGAGCAGATGTGGCTGCCTTTGCCAACCATCACGTGCCACAGCAGAAGCACGAGCGCAAACGCTGGCTCTCCCACTTGCTGTGTGGCTGGGGCCGGCGGCTGGCCTCTTGAGCCTCGGTTCTTCACCTGTTTCAGGAATCACCCTTGGGGGACATTTGTGGAATGAAATGCGTTGGTGACAGCAAAGTGGGATGCACACTTCCGTGTGTTATCAACTAACTGCTGGTCTCCTCTCCACCTGCCACTCACTCCCCGTCACAGAGGCTCTGGAAGGCGCTGCTGTCTGTGCAGAGCCAGGCCTCCCGACTGCCCGGGCACACGCACTAAGGAGTTCACGCATCCATGATTCAGTTGGTCTTTGTTGCTTGCCTACTATGTGTTGGGCAAGGATAAGAGAGGGTTTCCAGTGGTGTAGTCAGAGGAGGGAATAACCCCACGAGGCGTCACAAGCCCTTCTTTGCATTTTTGTCATCATTTTGGACAGCTCCAGCTCCTTTCTTGGGAGTCTGGCTGTCCCCAGAGGCTGGCCAGGTGGATGGGTGGCTGGAATGACTTTCTGGAAAGCAAGGCCAGTATTCATTAAGCCTCCAATGGCGCAGGGTCCTGCACACAGTAGGTACTTGGAATGGCATGTGGGCTGCCTAGGAAAGTGGAAATTGCCAGAAGCCGGCTTCCTTGGCTGGTCCAGTCCCTCCTCCCTCACCCGGCATCCTTCGAATCTGGTCAGAATGGTCAGACTATGGTTCTCCCTGAAGCAGTTTTACCTTGCTTGGGGCCTGGGAATTCCATCTAGGCCCGGGTGTCTCATTATTGCCTGTCACAGGACAGTTGTGTGGCCTGCCATCTCTCCCTGGGACTCTGGCTGGTCTAAGATTGGAAACCTGGGAACAGTGTCTTCATCACCCCACACCATGGCTCTGTATTCTGGGTCCACTGGTTCTGGGTAGAGGTGGGGTGGCCCTCGGGCCGGGCCAGGCCAGGGGAGCCCCGGGGGCCAAGGATTACGTGAGGCCCCCTTGGCAAGGGCCCGTTGGCTGTGCTCCAGGGAGAAAAGGTAATGAGGAGCAACTCCCACTTAACCATCGGTATAAATCCCACAATCAGGAAAATTGCTTCAATTGCTAAAAGACGCTGGTGGGAAAGTCCATTTGTTTTTCATTTTTCTTGTGCACTTGCCCCCTGCGCATGAATCACTGTCGGTTTGTAGATTGAATTTATACCCCGTTATCTTTCATGTCTCTGGGCTCTGGTGTCGACTGGGCTTAAAGCCCTCTCTGCTTTTAGAGGTGGGAGAGGCGTGGTCCCATGGTGGGAGAAGCTTCTGGAGGCCTCCACTCTCTTCTGGGGTCTCTCCTCTGCCCAGGCCTCCACGTGAGGATTTGTTTGGGGGAAAGTCTAGATCTTCTCTGGAGCCACTCCCCTCCCCATCTTTTCAGCAAAGGGTTTGGACACACCCTGCAGATGTGGGTGGTTTCTCAGGAGGGTTCCCGGCAGACCTGGTGGAGTTTCTGTTTGTAACTCACACCTGCTTTGGGGATGGATGAGATAGGAGGGCACAGGCTTTTGAAAACACTCTCCAGTAGTGTATAGGTAGGTTTCCTTTCTCTCTGTTCCCCAGACACGCAGATGGCCTGCTGCTTCCCTGTGACCCAGATGGCATGGTTATGCGGCACTGTGGGGCGGGCCTGTTTCTCCCCTGTGCTCTGGGAGGGGCAGGACCCTCCTGAGCGGGCCATCCACTACCATCTCCATTCTCCATGCGCATCTTCTATTTCTTTCTTTTCTTTTTTATTTTTTTCCTTTGGGGGCATTGGTACTAGGAATTGAACCTGGAGTGTTTTACCACCGTGCTGCATCTCAAGTCCTTTGTATTTGTTTTGAGCAGCGGTTTCACTAAGTTGCTTAGGGCCTTGCTAAATTGCTGAGGAGGGTCTCCAACACTTGCTACCCTCCTGCCTTAGCCTCTCAGGTCGCTGGGATTATAGGCAAGTGCCACCACACCCAACTCCATGTACATCCTCTAAAGACATGGGTCGTTCTTCAGTGATTTCATTATTCAACAAATAAGAACTGACTTTTTTGGGTCCTGAATCCCTTTGGAATTCTGACACACACCTGGATGGCCTCCTGAGGCAGGATTCTGAGTAACTCGGGAAGAGTGGTTCATGAAGCCTACACTGAATCTCAGGTGGAGCACTTGGGCTCTGAGAGGCCTCTTCCATACATCCCCCACCAAATTAAGAGACATCCTAGGGATTCAGAAGCCTGGTGTCCCAAGCCTTGTTGCAGACACACTCTAACACCCTTCTGTTCCAGTCTCAGAAGAGCAGTCTTCCAATCACCATTCTGGCTCCTGGGGAGTTCACCATGCAGACATGGAGACCCCTCCCTTCCCTCCAGGATGCCATGTCCATGGGGGGTGGTTCAAGGCTGCAGCTGGACATGCCTGTTGCAGGCCCCTGCCCCCGCCCCCCCCCCCAGCAGGTATCATTGCTGCTTAAGAGACCCATCATTCTGCATTAATCTGGGATTCATCATGATAGCCATGACCATAATTAATTTATTTGGTATTAATGTGGATGAAATATGTACTGTCCTTTCAGGGGAAATCAGGCTGCCTATAAGCATTAGTTAAAAGGACCATTAAAATCAAACCTTCCCCAGATCCATTAGGCGAAGTCTTTCATCCTGAAGAAGATAAAGTTCTGCCGTGTGAAGTGTCATGAATAATTAGGTTGATTGCTGTTTTAAACTCTGCCCCTGCTTCCCGAGCCCCGCCGCCTCCCTCCTCGAGGAGGGGAGGCTCACCTGCTGCAAGGCACCCCTTCCTTGCCCACCACGGCGCTGGCCTCGTTTCCCTCTTGCCTCTGTGACCCTGGCGTGGCTTTGTGGATCTCTGTGGCCAGCCTGGGGAAAGAGGCTTCCAGGACCCCGCTGGATGCTTCTTTGAGTTGTCGGCTTCTCTTCCCTTCCTAGTCCCAGCACAGGGTGGCAGTGGATGACTTTCTTTTGCCTTGATGTAGGTCCAGAAAGGGAGAGACCCAGGAGAGGCCTTCGGCAGCGTTTTCCAAACATATCTGCAGACTTCTTGCCCTGGGATGTTGCAGGGTCCTAAAGCGTGCCTCGCTAGGCCTGCCTTGGACCACCACAGGGAGGAGATGGGCCGTCCTGGTCCTGAGGGAGGGGAGGGAGAGATGGGGAGCCTGCTCTGCTGACAAGGCTTGTTTTCTCAGAGTGCCAGTGTGGACGTGGGCCTGTGCTGTTGCCTGGCCTTTTGGGGCCTCTCGCTCTGGGGAGAGGCTTCTGGGGGCTTCACCTGTGGTTCCCTGTTAGACCACATCATAAAGACTAGGAAGCCTGGAGGGGAAGGTACAGCTGCCCAGGAAGGGCCCTAGAAACCCCACCCCCTGCCCCCATGATGGATGGGTGTCAATCAGGCAATGTGGAGCCCAGGGATGTCGGCCTCAGGAGAGGCATTAGTGACTAGCTCTGGTCCAACCCCTTCATTGGTGATGCAAGAGCCCAGCCTGAAGCGATGAAGCTAGTTGGAGGCCCAGAGGACGAGGTCTGGGTGTCCCCCGGGGCCCAGGGACACTGGAGTGGTGGGCTAGGAGAGGGCTGGGAGAGGGCACACCCCACGGGCATGCATCTTCCCCCTAATCCTTTTCTGCTGCCCTGACAGGCGCTTCGGCACGAAATGCACGGCCTGCCAGCAGGGCATCCCCCCAACCCAGGTGGTCCGCAAGGCCCAGGACTTTGTCTACCACCTGCACTGCTTCGCCTGTATCATCTGCAGCCGGCAGCTGGCCACGGGGGACGAGTTCTACCTCATGGAGGATGGGCGGCTGGTGTGCAAGGAAGACTACGAGACAGCCAAGCAGAACGGTAAGTGTCCCTGCCTGTGCACTGTCCCCCTCCAGGCCGTTCCCTCTGCCTGTGGTGTCCTTCTCCCTGAGCCCTGCCCGGACCTCTGGGCCCCTTCAATACTGGGCCTCCTCCTCCAGAGCCCCAGGAGCTGATTCTGGTCACCTTAACCTGCTGCACTCGCTGGCTTTGTGAAGCATGAATCAGGCTCTGGCTGTGGAGATGTGCTGTTACCCTACTCCACGGCGGGCTTCAGCAGCCAGGGACCTCTGGTCATCCTCTTGGTGGCCTCTTTGCCTGGGCAGTCTTGGAGCTTGGTCTGCAGTGGATACTGGGGTTCTCCTGAGTGTTGACTTTGGGGTGCACTCACCTCTGCACTCCTGTGCCTCGAAGGCTGCAGACAGCAAGACCAGTACTGGCCTGTCCCCCCTGAGGGTTGGCTTGCGTTGCAGGTGTTTCCTGCCTTGGGAAGGGACTGAGGGCTGCTGCCCCAGCTGTTTCTGAAGACCTGATAGTGGAGCAAGTGCCTGGGCATTGGGCTGAGTGAGGCAACTGGGACTCAACAACATAACTGACCCCTGCCCTTGCCTCAGGGCCATTGCCCGGCTGGTGGGGCGGAGGCTGAGATCAGCGGGGAACCCTGCCTTACCTCTGCCCAGGCTGCTCTTGCCCTCCCTGGCCTGTTCTTGGGCAGCCTAGGGGCTCTCCAGCTCCTGGACAGGGCTCAGACTGGCTCCCCTCAGGAAGGCCACCCCGACTCCCTCCTTCTTGCAGCCCCACCCCTGGCTTCTCATTTCAAGCTGCACCCACAGGGTGGGGGTGTCTTACTCCAGATCTGAATTTAGGATTTGGTCACATCCAACCTAGGAATCTCAGATGCACAAATTCATGGAACATCAAGGTCTTTTGCCTTTGCCTAGAATTTTTATCAATTTAGGGTTCCACAGTGGAAAGCAGTCCTATTGATAGGTCTGTACTTGATGGAATTAAATAAATAAAGCAAAAACTGTTTCATGTATCTCCTTCCAGATCTTTCCTGGGCTCATATGTTATCTGGATCTGATCAATACATGGAGAAATTAGGTTTCTGATTAATAAATGCAGTATGAAATAGGTTTTGTGGCAGCGAGGACACAGAGGAACTCATAGGGGTCCTTGGGTGAACTAGCTGGGCCAAACTTGGCTTTGGTGGGAGGAAGGGAGGGGCAGGGAAGCCCATGGCAGAGGTTTCCTGTCTCTCTTGGGATCCTCTCTGCCATTACCCTCACACCTCTGGCTTTGCCAGGTGGACAGACCCACGGCCTCTGAAGACTGGTCTCTGCTCTGGTTCCTTAAACTCCACGCTGTTGCTTTGGGGTTCATTAGGATGTCATGAGAGAGTGGGCGGCTGGTCAGGAATAGGCCACCGATTCAGATGGGCTCGAAGACACCGAGACACCTTTGGAACCCTGATGCCCATCATCACAGATCATAAAGCACCACCCCCCTCGGTTCTCACGTCAGGGACTTGTTCATTAGACCCTGAGTCCTCCCGGCCGGCATGTCATGGTGCTGAGATGGTTCGAGAGAAGAGGGAGACAAACACAGACTGGTCGTAATCTAGCTGGGGAGGCAAGAAAGACGTGTGGGGCTCGTGATTTTATGGAAGAATATTTGCTCCGTGGGGCACTCCTCTGCAGGACAATGAGAGACACTGGCTTTGGCATCAGAGGCGGGGTGGGCGTCCCCAAGAACTTGGGGCTCCTCTGGGACGGTGTGTAGTTGACTGAGTCTTGGCTTCTCAGCTACATGTGGGGCTGGACAGAAGCTGCCCCTGTGGGCTGTCTCCCGAGGTTTAAGCAGGAAGAGGCTTGTGAACTGGGGTGTTAAATAAGAGTGAGACTCGTGTGGGAGAGACATGCAGACAGGTAGGCGTGGCATGTTTTAGGCAGCTGAAGGCACCTCTGCCCTGTTCCCCAGGTGTCCTCTGGCTGTCAGGGAGGCGGAGCCGCTCCATCCTGGGATAGCCGGGTGGTCCTTGGTGCAGCAGAGGACATTTGTCTGCCTTTGAATGTGTTGTGATTTCTCCTTATCTCCCTAAGTCTTCTTTTAGGCTTATAATTTCCTCCCTTGAGCTAAACAAAGGATCTAATATATCAGCTATTTGCACCTTAGTATGAATGATTTTGTTCATTTGTTCCATCTCCTTGGATATCTGCATTTTCAAAATAATGAGGGCTCATTTTATATCAGGGATAAGTTCTAGGAGACCCTGCATAATTCAACGCTAACGTACATTGAGACTAATTTTCCCCTAGGAATTAATGCAAACCTGGGGGGAGGGGCCCCTGCCAGCATACAGATCCACAGCCTGTGAAGGAGATCTCCGCCTTAATGTTACTTTTTATTTTCTCAGCATTACCTTTAGTACCGTGCCCAAGGCTCTCTCCTAAATTAACAGCCGGGGGTATCGTGGTGTCCCTTGGCCTTCCTGATAGCATTTTATCACATTTAACTTCCGCACCAAAGTTATTGATTTTCGGGTACATTTTTCAGCACGAGCACTGCCGCCACTACTTAATGAATACTTGGATGACATTGTTATAGGATATAAAAAAGATTTTAAATTATAATAACAGTGAATGTTAAAATAACAGCATAATAGTCCCCGTAATCACAAGAAGAAAGCCCTGAACACACAGCAATGGTGCGCCACCAAAGGCCACCAACCCGGGTGACAGGTAAACCCCAGGGGTGCTGCCGTCTGCTGTGGTGAAATGATTTCTAATTCACTAGGAAAGGCTGTTTTGAAATTAAGCGATTCCCCCCGACTTAAACTCTTTTTTCTTTCTTTGAGACGGGCTCTCACTGTGTTGCCCAGGCTGATCTTGAACTCCTGGGCCCATGCTAGCCTCCCGCTCAGCCCTCAGTAGCTGGGACTATATCTAGTCCTATATAGAGGCATTTGCCACCATCCCGGCTCACATAGTTTTCATAGTTTTATTATTTAAAAGTTTATCCATGAAGACTCTATTCATATTTTAAAAGTACACCATTTCATATCTGCATAATTCAAGTTTGCATCAAACAACGTCATGCTGAACTCTAGAATTTCACAAATTGTGGAGGTTGTCTGTGTTGGCCTTACTCTCTAAGCGTGGGGGCTCTGTCCTGCACCCCTGCCTTGGGTCCTGGACTCCAGGGAGGGAGATGGGTGAGAGTGGATCTGGGATGGTTCTGGGATGACAGTAGCTTATGCTGGGAAACAGCCCAAGGAGGAGAGAGGACACTGGGCTTCTACCCTCTGCTGTGTGTGTATGTGTGTGTGTGTGTATTGTGGCCCCAGCTGCGCCACTGCTTAACCCCCTAGAACGCATGGCTCCCCAAGGGCAGGTGTTGCTCCCCAAGCTTCAGACGGTGAGGCTGCTTGCCCAAGTCAGTTGCCCAGGGCCAAGAAGGCCACACCTAGGTCTTCTACTTGGACAACCTTTTAGAATTGTGGGGACTGACTGCCTATAAAGCTTGTAGTGAACCAGGCACACAGAAGGTGCTTAATAAGTGTTGCCTATTATTGTTGTTCCTAAGAGGTTTTTCTTGAATGTTCTTAAAGGAGAAGAGGCAGGGAAGAGGACAGGAATGTAACAGAGGCTCTGAAGTATACATGTGAGGGGCACAGAGAACCAGTGGTCTTTATTCTTAGTGTCCTCCAGGGCCACTGTGCAGAGGGGGAGAAATGTGCCCAAGTCCCAGGTGAGGCAGCAAGCTGTTTGCACGACTGTGTGGTACTGAGCACACCAGCTGCCTCTCTGTGCCTGACTGGGAATGGAACAAACCAGCCTTTAGCTAACAGAGACTCGAGGTTCTTCTGTTCAAAACCCATCAAACACTCTGTGTTGACCAGTGCGTTACCTGGAACACTCCGGAATTCAGTGCTTTTCAAAAAATGTTGACTAAGATCCACTGTGAGAAGCTCACTTCAATTTCAACTCAGGGCGCACATTCAAACAGGGAAAGTGAACAAGTTTCATGAAACACTGCTCTGTCTGTTCATCCTGTTTCCTCTTTTAGTTTTGATTGACTAGATTGACTTTATAAGCCACTAGTGGGTTCTGACCCGTAGATCATAAACACTGCTTGGACGGCGAGTGAGGTGCAGGCTGTCCCCAGTTGGGAGCCCAGGGAGGCCATGGCAGAGGCCATGAGGTGGGACCAGGGGAGACGGAGGCTCTGGAGGGGAGCCAGAGGCCAGGGACTTGGGGGCAGTGCACCTCACTTTCAGTGCTGTGGAGGCTGCAGGGGTGGGGACCACGCCATGGTGATGCTCGCCCTCTTCCCCAGCCCTACATGGAGCAAGTGTTCTACTGCCTGGGGGGAAGGAAGGAGGAGGCCCAGCTGCTTCCAACCTGCTGATCCAGTAAGGGGTGGTTTTCATTGCAGATGACTCCGAGGCTGGAGCTAAGCGGCCACGGACCACCATCACAGCCAAGCAGCTGGAGACACTAAAGAATGCCTACAAGAACTCCCCGAAACCCGCGCGCCACGTGAGGGAGCAGCTGTCCTCGGAGACAGGCCTGGACATGAGGGTTGTTCAGGTTAGAGGCCAGCCCTCCTTTGCCCTCTGGGGATCTGGGCCTCTGGCAGGGAGGGACAGAGTGTGGTGTCCAGAGCCAGGAACTGGTGTGACATCACCATCCCCATGGGCAGTTGGGCTCAGGGCAGTGACCCCGTGTCCCTGGGGGTGTTAGCCAGAATCTCAGGCAGAGTTCAGAGGCCCAGGCTGGAGAGAGCAGGGGCAGGAGAATAGGCTTTAGTCTGTCTCCAGCCACCTGCGTTTGGGTCCTGGAGGCTTTGGGCTGATGGCGCACTCCCCCTGAGTCCCTTGTGCTTTGTGGCAGGTTTGGTTTCAGAACAGGAGGGCCAAGGAGAAACGCTTGAAGAAGGACGCAGGGCGGCATCGCTGGGGACAGTTCTATAAGAGCGTCAAGAGGAGCCGGGGAGGCAGCAAGCAGGAGAAAGAGAGCTCGGCAGAGGACTGTGGGGTTAGTGACAGTGAGCTGAGCTTCCGAGGTGAGCAGGGCTGGGGGCGGGGGGGGGGTGGGGTGGGCGAGGCCGAGGTCCTAGGGAAGGCCCCTGGGGAACAGTAGGCCCTGGCTCACAGGTGGCTCTTTCTTCAGGCCTTGGCAACTCCCTCCCAAGACCTCAGTAAAGGGTGGGGAAGGTGCTAGGGCCCTTCAGGACGGGACAGGGAATAGAAAAGGAGAGGAACAGGTCCGTGGGGTGCAGCCAGGCCCTACTCATGGCCCTGAGGTCCCCCTCATTGCCTGCTGACTGGGGTGCCCTCACCAGACCACCCAGCTGTGAACAGAGGGCTGCATCTCAGCGCTTGCCCCAACCCTGTTCCTGCACCTCTCCCTTTTGTGGGGACACTGGCCACCTCCTATGGTCCCCTAAAGGAACCCCGTCCTCCTATCCTGGTGACAGGAAGCACGCTCATCAGGCCTCTTCCTGGAGATCACTGCTGTGAGTGCATGTGAGCGGGGCACTTGCTTCCTCTCGACCCGGCACACGAGCTTCGCAGCATGCGCTCTGTTCGGATTGGGGCATCAGCAAAATTGCAAATTACTGCACACAGTGGATCCCCAGGTTGTTCACAAATAACCCTACCTGCTCTCAGTTACCGAGTCCGCAAATGGGGAAGGACTTCTGTTGGGGACGGCAAGGACACTGATCAGAAGCCTAGCTTGCAGGGTGGCTCTATTAGAGCAACTCATTTTTCATGAGCTGCTGCATTCCCATCTATAAATGGGGAGTGCCCCCGCATGTCATCTCAGTCACTGGGCTCAGTGAACACACCAGCTGTCGACGTGCCCAGGGGAAAGCTAAGCACACTTGTACTCAGGGAGGGTGTGACTGTCCCTACAGGAGCCAGTGGCTCCCATAGCCAAAGGGCCAAATCATGGCCATTTTAGAGTGGAGCTGAGCCTTCTGCATCCTGCTCCCTTTGAAGGACATCAGCCTTCCCTTGCCCCTTGCTTTCACATTTCCACGGGTGGCATGGGAGGTCTCTGGGGGATGGGTTTTGAATAGTGTAGGGAGGCTTCTTACAGGAATTGATGTGTAGCCCAGGTGGGAAAGTGGAAGAAGTTTGTGGGACAGAGGGTGGAATGAGTGGCCTAGAGGAGCACAGTGTCTGAGAGGACTGAGGCTCAGCCGGGAGGTCTGCTGAGACCTACAGGTCAGAAGGCCCAGGACCCCATTCTCACCTGTCTACTTGGCAGGATTGGGAAAGTCACCTAATCTCATCTGAGCTGTTGAGATCCACGCTTGAAATTCAGTATTGTTAAAGCATTCCTGTTGGGTACAGATGGGTCCCAGACTGACATAGCATTAGTCTCTCTGGGCATTTATAAAATCCTTTATTTCTTAAGGCTAAAATTTCTGGCCTCTGTTGGAGAGACGAATTCTTTCATGTGATAAAGATTGCACTAGATCCCCTTAATGAAATGGCTCAAGAGACAAGAGGGTCCAGTGGCCTTAAATGATTTTTGCCCCCAGTGAAGAGCTTATTGAATAGAGAGAAGCCAAGTCCTTTGATACTGAACCTCCTTTCTGGGTAGACCAGAAGGATTTTGTACACATGTCTAAGCAAGGTCCCCAGCTTTGTTCTATCCTGCTTGTTTCCCAGCCAATGAAACTAAGCACTTTTCTCATTGAAAGCTTTTAGAGTAAATCTTGGCAGCACATATTTGTCACTTGTGATAACACCACCCACCAACCCTGGGGTGTTCATACTCCTGAGTGTTGCCTGAATATTTTAGTACACCAGATACACGGGGCCAACAAGCTCATCAAGTATATGTCCAGCCTTCTGGGACCTGAGAATTGGTCTCTGCAGGTGTTTCTTATTTTGCCCCTTGACCTGGGTTGGTCCCTGGAGGCCAGGTGGATTGGCTGCTGTCTGACCTTTGCTTGGCAGAGAGACAGCTGCTGCCTTTGGGTATCTTCCCCAGTCATGGGTTCCTAGGTTGTGAAGAGCAGAGACCACTGAAGTCCTGGCAGCTGACAATAAATCTCCATTCTTTTGTCCACAGAAGATCAAATTCTGTCAGAACTTGGCCACACCAATAGGATTTATGGCAACGTGGGGGACGTTACAGGTGGACAGTTAATGAATGGGAACTTCTCCATGGACGGGACAGGACAATCCTATCAGGACTTGAGGGATGGGAGTCCCTATGGAATCCCCCAGTCTCCATCCTCCATATCGTCCCTGCCATCCCACGCTCCCTTGCTCAATGGGCTGGATTACACGGTGGACAGTAATTTGGGCATCATTGCGCATGCAGGGCAGGGCGTGAGCCAGACGCTGAGAGCCATGGCTGGGGGACCCACCTCTGACATCTCCACAGGAAGCAGTGTAGGCTACCCCGACTTTCCAACTAGCCCAGCCTCTTGGCTTGATGAAATGGATCATCCTGCTTTTTAAACTTCTCTCCTCCCCACCCTACCTGTCCTCCTGGTTTGAGAGAATATCTTCAAGGATCAAAGGAGACTTGCCTTTTAAGGATCAAAAGTGCGCCAATGTGAATTTCCATTATTTTCAATGGAAGTGCTCTGCTGGGTCCTAGCAGGCTGTGCGGCCTCCCTAGGGCACGGCTTTCTTGGAGGAGGCAGGAGAGCAGCCTCAGCTGAGACGGCACAGGGGGACAGCCTGGAGCTCTAGGTGCTGGCTTGCTGGCGCTCTCCCTGCCTGCCCTGCTTGGTGGCTTTGGCTGCTCAGTGCTTTGGTAGCACAAGGTGACTGTGACAGGCCACCTGGGCCTCTGGGAACTGTGCTCCAACCGGTGTGTCTCACACAATGCCTCCCCGACCCCGGCTCTCACCAGAGCCGAGATTCCTGAGGTAGAGCATCAAGGCCCTTGAGTATAATGAGATGGTTCTGGACCTCGCTGATCGAACCCTGATTTTCAAAATAAAATAGCCAGTTTCTAAAGGTCAGTGAACACGTTGATGGCCACAATTTGATATTAAAAACACACCCCTCTCCTTTCCTTTTTGTTGCTGTGAAATTATGACTTCTTTCCTATGCGAAAGTACAAACCAGAGAATAATCAACGGTTTTAGTTTTTAAGAAATCCCATCTAGACCACTGAATCCCTCACGGCAAGAAGTGGTTTTCATTGCAGGTGACTCTGAGGCTGGAGCTGAGTGGCCTGGACCTTCACAAGCTGCCCGATGAGTCCCCTTGGCACAGTGTGCCTTTTTTGATTTGCTCGTATCAGTTACTACCCAAGACAGGCTGCGGGCTACACAGTGATCAAAGCTAACCATGGAGAGAGCAGAGTGACAATCAGTGACAGCACCTGGAGATGCATTTGGGTTCCAACTGTGCAGTCTGCTTAGCCACATGGGCAGATGCCAGTCTCCTTGTGGGGTGAAATGAAATTTGGAGTTTGCCTTGGGGGCGTTGGTTTAGGTGAGCTTGCAAGTCTGCCCTCCTCCCGCTAAAACATGAAAGCCTTCTCTGCTGTGCTTGCTGACTCCACCGAAGACAGCAATGCTTTTTTGGCTTACCTTGGTTGGGAGGAATACTCTAGGGTCTAAAAGGTTTCAAGCGGTCCTTGGGCTGCATTTCTCTGGGTTGCTTGCTGGACTGGTGCCATGCCCTGGGCTCCTGTCCTGTGCTCAGAAGCCAGAGCTCCCCAGCTAGTGGCAGTGCAGGGACTTCCTGCTTGCAGGTTTGCAGAGCATGTCACTAAGCCTGCAGCAAGGTCAAAGCTGAAACTGCCACCTTGTGCACCCCACTTCTGGCCATCAGGATGCTCTCCATGTGTAAGCTGGGAATTTAGCCAGCTGCAATGTATTTCCACTCCCTTGGGAAACTGTGGTTTGCTTCTTCTGGCCTCCCATTCTCTTAAATGAGATTGGCAGGGTAGGAAGAATGCGAAGGCCTTGCCTTTCTTTCATATGAAGTGATGGGGCCAAAGATCCGAAGGACCCTTCCTTCTGTGATGGTTGATCACCCTGTGAAGACTGCAGAGATTTAGGCATGCTGCAGGCAGACTAAGGGAAGTGTCTTTTTAAAGCTCTGTTCCAGGGCTGCAGTAAGTTCCATTAAGTATCTTTAAGAGACACAGTCAATGAATTCCTGAAGAAGCCTTCAGGCCACCTATCCTCTGATCAGTTTTGTAGCATACCCTTGTTTTTTTTTTTTTTTTTTGGTGGATTGCAAATGCCCTCATTTTTGCCTGGGGAGTCTGCAAATATGGACTCTTTTCTTGAGGCTCCATGTTTGTGGATAGTGGTACGTTAAGCCCATCCAATTCTATGCTATTGGAAGTCCCCAACAAGGTGGGGTGGGAATGGACACAAATGCAAGATAATAAGCATGTGAAGAGAGGGAGATCACAACCTTCTGTTTGGAGGCCAACTTCCTGAATACATGCTTCTCAGCAGGCCGCTCGAAATACACAGGCGAGAGGCTGTGTGGCAAGCCAGTGGAAAGCTGCCCGGCCAGGTCCCTACTGAGCTTAATATCTCATGGGTTCAGAGGTGAGTATAGTGTGGGACAGCAGGATCTTTAAAGGGGGTCCTGCCCTCTGTATAGCACTATAAAAGATCAATTTAGGTTGAGCTGTTTTATTTTTATAAAGGAGTTAATCATACTCCCAGTTCAATGGTAGAAGTATAGGAGGCTGTCCTCCCACGGAGAGGTCTCTTGAGGGAATCTGGGTAGTGCAGTGATGTTGGTGGTAGCTCAGAGGTGCTGGAAAAGAGGTCCTGAGACAGCACTGACCACAAGTCCAAGAGAGCTGTATTTAAGGTGCATTCCCAGAGCCACCTCCCTGGAGAGCAGCAAACATGGGTGCCTATTTAGAAGCACAGTCACAACCGGTCTCAGACTTTAAGTGGCTCTCCATGCAAATTGTGCTGCATGACGATGGGCCAGTGTCACTGGTGAGCACTGTGTTCTGAGACTTAGCTGCCCCCAGAGGCACTCCTCTATTAGACTCCTCACACATCTACTACTGGAGTATCTGGTGCCACCTGGCAACTGCTCCCCCCTTGCTAAATGACACAGATGAACTTAAGAAATGACACAAGACCTTCTAGAGGCATTTGCAATATTTGGGCCTGTCTTTGAGAGCAGTTAACAAAGATGATCCTCTGTGCCACCCAACAGACTTTAGAGCAGGAAGCTTCTGAACACTGGAGTAAATTAATAACTGACCCCCCAAGTTCCCAGTGGTAATTGGATAAGCAAAATGTATTTGCTGAGAAGTGATTAAATCAGGGAGGCAGTACCAAATCTAAGGGCTCACCGTGGGTAAATCCTGTTGTTGGGAAGTGGGGTTCTTGGCTCTTCAAGGACTTGCTGTGTATCCCCAGGCAACTCTTTCTGGTCTATATGCTTGCTCTTTCTTGCTTCCCCTGATAGTTATGAGCATAATGTAAGAAGAACATCAACTATCATACTGATAATATTGTTCCTGCAAATTAATATAGTGAATAACAGGGAAAAAGATCAAAATTAAGACCTAAGAGAAGCATTTGGCAGTGTCCTTGAAGGCTTTTTGTGCCACTGTAAAACATAAAATCTGATAAGATAATTGGGGGCCATTAGATCTTCATCATTAAGTTCACTTTGCAAGAAATGTAAGGAATCTGTAGAAAAAGACATCCCCATCTGGAGCTCAGAGCTGCTCATCTGAACCCACTGCCTCCTTGTAGGAGGTGGCTCGAGGCTTCTGATGAGCCAAGGCTGTGTGCTGTGTGACAGTCCACTACCTGCCCCCTGACCACCACACAGCCTTCCCGGCATGCCCCACTGACACCCAGGTTACAGCCATGGAACGATGGCCACACCTCTTCAGCCAGCAGGGCCCAGATAGCCCGAGGAGGCTCATTTTTAAACATTGCACTTTAAAAATTGGAAACCATGAGATGAAGAGAAATTCAATTAAGCGGAAATGAGTTTTGTTTTATTGCCTGCTGCTGAAGGGCTCTGGGCATGCTGAAAGCTAAATAAAAGCACATCACTGGCTCTCTCTTTTCTCGGATTGGTCAATTGGCCCTTTTGGCAGTAGTTGCTCCAACTGCTCTAACACGGTGACTGGAGCCAAAAAGAGAGAGCTCAGCCAAGTCATCCCATCCACACTCTGCTTGGTAGGACCACACTAAAAGCACAGTTTCATGCTGCTAGCTCTGGTGAGGAGACAGCTGCAGGTTTGGAGGTGCGCCAAGCATTCCTTTGCTTAGGGAGGCAGAGCACAGGTGGACGGAGCAAGGACACCCCCACTTTCACCTGTTGCTCACCTAGAGACAAGGATCACATTGTACTTTCCCACTTGAGGACTGTGTTCAGCCTAAGGAGCAGGTTCAGGGCCACAGAACCCCAGAAGCCGCTCCGAGTGCACATTCAGCCCTCAAAGCCCCAGGTCCCTGAGCTCTGGATTGTTGCCCTCATCCTTCGCAGTGTAAATTTTGTACAGTTAAAAAGAAATGAAGTCTCGTTTCCTGGAAAAAATAAAAAAGAAAAAGAAAAAAAAAAGGACCCACCCATCCTTATTTATTGCCATGTGACTTTGGAGAGCAGAAGCTGGTGCGTTTGTCTGTATATTGCCTCCTGTGTGTTGGCATGAGATGTGTACGGTAAAACTGTGTAAAATAAACATGGAAATTCTTTAGAAGCTGATGTGTCTTGATTTTGGTTTGGTTTTCTGGCCGTTTCCCCTCTTGACATAATAGAAGGCTGAGGCACAGGAGGGCCTTTCATCACCAGAAGGAAACCAGAGAGACAACTCTGAACTCTGGGACTGCTTACAGCCCTGAAATACCAGAACTACTCAATGAAGGATTGATAGAGGAGGTTCTATGATTACCTAACAGCAACTCCTTCTGCCCCTAAATTTAGGGAGTTGGAAGAAAAAAATGTTGGCCACATAACTTTTAGTTATTGTTTGTTTGGTTACTTTTTTGGTACTGGGGGTTGAACCCAGGGGCTCTTAACCACTGAGCCACATCCCCAGCCCTTCCCCTTTTTCTTTGTGTTTTGCTTAGAGACAGGGTCTCACTGAACTTGCTAAGTTGCTCTGAACTTGAGATTCTCTTGCCTGAGACGTCCCGAGCCCCTGGGATTACCAGTGTGCCCCACCATGCTCGGCCTTGTTCTGTTACATTTTAAAGTCCTTCACATGTAGTTATTTCCTCTAGAGAAAGGATGTGCACATTTCTGTATTTAGCTGAGGGGACAGGACAGAAACACCTCAATCAGAGTCATCAAGGCTCCTAGACAAATGCTTTTTAGGAAAATCTCCATCCTGGTTTCCTCTCTGCATGAGGTGTGTTAGTATGCAGGCCCTGAATGGAAAGAAAATATTTTTTAATTAAAACAAACAAAAAACTGAAGTGTAGTTCCTCACACTAGCCACATTCCAACTGCTCAAGGGCTATTTGTGGCTACTACTGGCTTCTGTATTTGGACAACACAGGCGTAAACATTTCTATCACTGCAGAAAGTTCTGCGTGGTGCTGACAGAGTCCGCCTAGGGACGATGGGCAGGCAAAACTCACTGATTACATGTGCAGCTCCTGGCTATCCTGGAGGACCCA